TTTGCATTTGTACTTCTTCCAAACTGAGCCTAAGATTTTGTGCACCACCATGGATGTGATGTTGGGATTTTCAAGATTCTATTAAATTTTAATTTTTTGTTATATAAAGATTTAAAGAATTCATCTAAATTTTTTTATTAAGTAACTTATACTTTGGGGGTAATGACAAATAGGCACCTTGAACTTTCAAACTCGACAGTTGAGTACCCCAAACTCCTAGAAATAGACACCCAGTCTAGTGTCCTTAACCCATGTTATAGTGTGCAATAAAATTACTGAAATGCCCATATGTATATTTAAATTATTGAAAAACAAAAATTGAAAATGACCAAAACAACCCCGATTAAGTTGTAGTCTTTGGTCTAGGCAACATTGCTGTTTATTTAGAGCCCTAGAAACAAGCTGAAAAGGGTTGAATCCGACAAAAAATACTTCGTTGGCAAGGGTTGTGTTCAGCGAAATGACTTCACCGACTTGATTCATGTTTATTGTAGTTCAATGCTTCAAATTTGATAGGAAAAATAAGGATTTTAAAAATAAGAACCTAAGAATGAAGATCTCAAAACAATGGTTTCATAGAAGAGAAAGGGTAATACGGTCTAAAAATGGCCTAAAAAAACATAAGGAGGATAGTTTGGGGATTCTAAAATGTTTAAAGTTGTACATGACTTCATATGTCATGGATATCTAACTTATTTATCGAGTACTAATGACTGGATAGGAGTATTTATTTTTGGGATTTCTGCTACTCAAGTGTCACATTTGAAAGTTCAGGATATCTATCTGATATTACTCCCAAATTACAAAGTATAAAGTACCTATATGTAATTTTATTGAAAATCATTTTAATTTTATTTTTCCATATGGCCACAAAATCAATGTAGCTTTTTTCCCAATACTATTTTTATTTGCTTTTTTTTTTTAATATTGTTGATGATTGCTCTCTCTCACCATCTAACGATTGTATCATATATAGGTACAAGAAAGAGGATGGATAATCATCAAAATTTATTTTATCATTAAACAATCTTTGAAAATATGAGTTTCATCCTTGACAAGAATCATACTCAGATTGTTTATTATGATCTTCTAATGGAGATGGTAATTTGTAGGAAGCTATCTGAATCAAAACAGATTCTAGTATTACTGGCAGGTATTTAAACCATTTGATGTTCCATGGAAACCATGGTTTACTACCCGTATTCAATTGCCAATTTACTTTTCTTCTTTGATTAATATCCATTGCACGCATCTAAGGACATGAACTTGAACCCAGAAACTAATCTAAGTTTCAATTAGATGAAGAGTCCCATCAGATCTGCTCAATAGTATTTGATTAGTAGTCTCAGCTAGCATATGCAGATGCAGGGGCTACTTAATTCTTTCCCTTCTTTGGTTTGATGATCAATTAGACATTGGCTTATATTGAAATCTTCCTGGTTTCTCTACTCCGAGGCCTCAAAAGTCAAATCCTGCCAAAACAAAGTCGTAAGCAACCACAATCAAAATGTTGTATTAGAGACTAGAGTAGGTTGGCATTCGATTCATAGTATAGTAACATCAAAAGATAAAAATGGAGGGTTAAGGTTTTGTTTCCATTTTTCCACCCTACGACTAGGACTAGGGTGTGGATTAGCTTAGGGCAATGATTGTGTAGTGGACTGGAATCTATGACAACCTCCCACATCCGCTATAAAATAAATGGGGCTAGTAGTGAGGTTGAATGGTTGTAGGGCATTATCATGCTTGTATCTTGAGGTCAACTTTGCCAATTTGAGAGAGGTTGAATGGTTGGCTCAGCTTGAGGTCAACTTTGCCAATTTGGCATCTTTTTAAAATTTCAACCTTAAGGTCCTTTACCTTAAACTAGTATTACTCAATCCAAGTATTCAATCACAAATTTAAATAATATACATGTTGGAAATTGGAGTCACAAAAGCTTAGTGGAGAAGTTGTGAGGTGTGCTCAAAAACATTGTCTTTAAAACGTTATTTTCCCCCACTTAGTTTTATTGAGTTTGTTGTTGGATTACAGGTAAATATGTTCTCAGGATACAATAGGGCTTTAAGCGAGAATTTGCAACAAACAAATTTGAAGAGTTTTCGAAGAAACCTTCTATGATACAGTAGCAGATCGGATTGAGAGAGACGAGTGATTTTTCGAAAACTTATATTTTCATTTGCTTGATTCGCACTCCATATATAATTTCTGAAGAGTCATCTTAAAGAGGAACACATTGGTTCAAAAAAAGGCTTTTTGTACAATCACAATTTCAAACTTTGTAATAATTAAAAATTAGTTAACAATTAATGACTATTAATTTTTGACTGATGCCTCTTAATCTCACCCAATCAAATTGTGACTGTTGAATTTTTTTTAAAATATCAACAGTCATGATTCAGTTTCACACAAAAAAATCAATACCATTTCAAACGTGTGTGAACAAAATGTACCTCTAAAGCACCTCATTGCATCGTATACATACACGTGCATTGCATGGTAGAAAGCTTCCATACTCTATTCTTATAATCGTAAGTGTAAACAAGCTCCTATTTAAAAATTCAAAATATATTTTATAATTTTCTTATGTGGGACAAATTGAAAATTTGTTTTAATGTAAATATTAAAAAACTATTTTTTAAGATATATGTATAGGTGCATTTTCATGTAATTATCATACTCTTTAAAGCCAATACCCTAGTTCGATGGGAGCATATGCCCATCTCATTATTAATACCATGTGATATGCACATGTATCATTGGTCTCCAAGTCTACTTTCTCATTTTATTATCTATTAGAGCTATTCTTAAAGAAAATTTTATTGAATGATTTCATTTTTTTTTCCGCTCCTCCATCTATCCCAGGCTTCCCAGCATACACAATTTTGTCATATACACATTCCTTTTTTTAGACATATTGTTTCTCGACTATCCAACACTTTATTCCATATCATATTATTTTCCTTATTAACATGTTAGAACTTAGAAGTGTTAGAAAAAAAAAAAAAACATGAACATCATACTATATAAATAGTATATAAACATCATACTATATAAATATTTTACAACGAAACACTCTTAATTATCAATACCAATCTCTCATCTCCACCATGCCCGGATCAATACATACACTAGATATGGAGTTTTGATTGGTCCTATATATAGGGTTGCAAATGATCCAACCCAAGTTTCCCCTTTTGGGCCCTTTAATTTATGAGTATTGGTATTGGCTGACCTAAATAAACAATTTCAAATGTGATTCAGCTCTGAATGCGAAGGGCGTATCAATGAGAATGAATATTCTTTCCAAAATATTTCACCAAATGAGAATATTGCATAATTAAAAAGCAGTAAACAATTCAGTTCATCCAATTCCGCACTTGTGTGAAACTATTCCTCAGTAAAAGCAGCGGATCGAAGGTGTTCCTCAGCTAGTTTCCTGGTAAAGTCTGGTCGGTTGCAACGTGTCAATTTTCGCATACACCTGGGTTTAAAACTAAAACGGTCTGATCTTCTACGTGGCCAAAAAAATATTCAAAAGATCTAAGAATTAAGATGGGGAGGTAAAAATTTTTAACACGTTGTGTGTTGGTATTCGTTCCTAGTATGTCCCTCCATCGGAAGAGTCCGGATCTCCTGCTCAGACAAACTCTATCACGTCTATCCATCAAACATTGCAGCCATATATAGACAACATCTCATCCTCCTACATACTATTATCTAGGGGAGATATTCTCAGTTCATCAGAGTAGTGTATTGTGGGTAGGTGTGGGCTGAGTTATCATGGGTAGAAGATCCGAAATCCCATCGCAATGGACTAATTAATACACACGTGGTGTGATCGTGGCACTATTTATCTCGCCATTTTGATCATTGAAAAGCTTAAAATCTACGAGTAAAGAAGGAACTGGGATCACCTAACAACAAAATATGTTCTAACACCCTATCAACTTGATCTGACACCGCTTATCTCACCAGAAATCGGAGCCCACCATAAAAGTGGGACCAATCATGTATGAGATGTACATGTGAGATGATGTTGATAGGGTGTTGGAACATATTTTCTGGTAGGTGTGTTGGACTTGTAAAGAAGTGCTAATCCTAATAATAACTAAGGTGTTGTTTGGTAAGTCTTTTTTGAAAGATTTTGTAATAAATCTATAGCTAAAAGATTACGTGAACTTTTGCATTAAGATCTTAATAACCTGAAGACGATTTGGTTAAGGTGTGTCTTCTCGTGCGAAGGCACGATAAAAAAAAGTCGAAAAGCTTTATTTGGAGCTTCCAAAAAATAGCTTAAAATGAGCTTGACGTGTCTTTTTGGAGTGTCATCTTTTGGCAACTAAATCTTTCCCAACCAAACGGGAAAAGACCAAAACACAGACTACTGGGTTTTTAAACAAACGATAGCACGTGCGGAAAGACACACGAAAAAGAGCCTAAGTAGGTGTTGGGAACATTGTACTATTTTTAGAGAAAAACGGTGCTAAGCATGTGAAGTTCTAAGTATTTTTTGTTTGGAATTGGTGCTGTTACATAGATGATTTTTCTTGTTTTTTTTTTTTTTTTTGAAAAAACATTGGTTTTATTTGGTACCGATGTTGGGAGCAACATTTTCAATGTTCATCATAGAATTGTTGGCAGCAACACACCGCTTTCCTAAAAAACATTAAATTTGGCATTGCTTCAGACCACATTTTCATGATTTTCAAGACGTAGTCTAGAGCAAGGTTTTTTTGTAAGAAAACGGTACCAAACAAGAGGGCATTGCTTCCGGCATCGTTTTCTCTGCCGTGATGCCTACATTGCTTCATTTTCTAAAAAAACGGCACCGATGCCAAACACTGCCTCGCTGCTGAGTGGTTAACCGTTCTTATTGTTGGCCTGTTGGGGGCAGCTGGAGGACAGCGGCAGAGTGGCGAATGGGTAGTTTAGTCATTAGAGTGGGATCTAATTACAAAAATGGCTATATCAGTTACCAAAATGGCCAAAACACCGTTGACTCAGTAACGTCTTTTAACGCTGGTGCATCACTGAGTAGCAGATCCAGACTCGATATGCGTTACGTTCCTCCGATTTTTCTGATCTGAAAGAGAAGAAAGTTCAGATCGGAAAAACCCTACACCCCTCATTTCTCTTCACATTCTCTCCCCTCTCTCTTCTTGCCGCGGCAATGGCCAGTCGATTCTTTCTCCTTCTCTCAATCTCAGCTCTTCTGCTCTTTAATGGGTTCTGCTCTGAAACTGTCTCGAAAGAATCACCGAAGAAAGATGACGATCTCGACGAAGATCTGAGTTTCCTTGAAGAGGGCGACGAAATTACCCCCATCAAGGACCCTCAAGCAGATCCAGACCACTTGTTCGAAGACGATGATGATTTTGACAACTATGAGGACATTGATGACTTCGAAACGGATCACGAGGAGTATCCGCCACCAGAGGTCGACGAGAAGGATGTTGTTATACTCAACGAGGGGAATTTCACTGATTTCCTGGAGAAGAATCGGTACGTGATGGTGGAATTCTACGCACCTTGGTGCGGACATTGCCAAGCACTTGCGCCTGAGTACGCCGCGGCAGCTACGGAGTTGAAGGGTCAGGCCGTGCTCGCAAAGGTGGACGCCACAGAGGAAAATGAGCTAGCCCAGAAGTATGAAGTGCAGGGGTTCCCAACTGTCTATTTCTTCATTGATGGGGTTCACAAGCCTTATCCCGGCCCCAGGAACAAGTAAGATTCCCCTGATATCCTCTTCTTGCAGCTTTTACTTGATCTAAACTTTAAATTCTGTTAGAGAGTTCTTTCATCAAGATGTTGACTTTTGAAGGGATAAAGTTTCTTTTACTTATAAGAAAAGGGATAAAATTTCTTTGTATAATTGAAGAAGTGATTATGAAGAAATTAGCTTCGTGAAACCGTTTCCTATTAAAAAAAAAAGAAGAAATGAACTTCGTGAATTTATTTCGCGCTACTTGTTTACGTTTCACTGAATCCTCAGTCTCGGCACGTTTTCTATTTTTTAAGGGAAGGAAATGAAAAACACTCAACTTTGTTAACTATTTACATTTTCCTCTCTGTTTTCTCTTTCAAAGTCCATGACAGGGATCGAAATGGAAAGGCATTTATATTTCTTTTTTTCTTTTTTAAGTGTGGAAATCCCCTAATTTGGAAATTGGGTTTAATTGGTAATCATTGTACTGTACTACTGTATCGAGAAACATGAATATAATTATACTTGATGAAATTGGATTTTGTTTTTAACGTATGTTAACACCTGGAACACTGATGGTAGTTAATTTACTCTATACTCTGTAGAGATTCTATTGTTACTTGGATTAAGAAGAAGATTGGACCTGGTATTTACAACATAACCACTACAGAGGATGCAGAGCGTATATTGAAAAATGAGGATAAATTGGTTTTGGGATTTCTTGATTCATTGGTGGTATGGCTCTTCCTTTATAAATGTGATGATTCTTTCTGTATTTTGCTTCTAGCTTGTGAGTTGAAGATGTCTTGCTGTGTTAGTATCAAGTTGGTATATAGGGGCATTTAATCTATTTCTTCAAAATGTCTTTTTTGTTATTTGGGCTATTCGAAGATTTGAAAAGATATCAATTTGATGAAACATTCTGCCTTGTATAAGGTGATCAGGTTTGTAACCTTTACTTGTAAGCTAACGATGACCCTGTTATGAATCCATTGGACAGTAAAATATGGTTGAAATGATTTTTCCTTTTTTGTTCCATGTGTGGAATGGGGTAAGAAATTGCTCTCCTACTTGGCTGTGGAACTCAAGAATTGAAATGAATTAATTGTTTTCACCTCTTTGAGATTGTAATGCCTAGGTTGTGAGAAGTTCTTTCTTTCTTTCTTTAATTTTTGAGAAAAGTATAACGTATTGCATTGAAGTATGCTCAAATTTACATCAAAGCCCTGCAAAAGAAGTCACTATACAAAGGCTGTGTCATATCTGTATGGCTATTCTTAAAGTCTAGATACAAAAGGAGATCTGTCTTCAGAAAAAGAGTTATATTGAATATCCTTGAATTGATGCTGAATAGCAACCCATAAGTATATTCTACCCCATAACATCTTCGCCACTGCATCTTCTAAGTTAACTTTGCTTTTAAAAAGTCTTAAAAGCATGTTATGTTAACATCTATTGTTTAATTATTTTTTTTGGTCTTGTTTCAAATCAATTTTTCATGCAAATACAGGGTCATGAAAGTGAGGAGCTTGCTGCAGCTTCAAAACTTGAAGATGATGTTGACTTCTATCAAACTGCCAGCCCAGATATAGCAAAGCTTTTCCACATTGACCCCAAAGCTAAACGTCCTTCTGTCGTCCTGGTGAAGAAAGAAGCTGAGAAAATAAGTTACTTTGGTTAGTTTTTTCATTACTTCTCCATAGTTCATGCTTTGGGCCTTTTCCTTTTCTCCTTCAAGGTGCATTACTTTGACATAGTTTTGGCATTTTTGCAGATGGTGAATACACCAAGTCTGCAATAGTTGATTTTGTGTTTTCCAACAAGCTTCCCTTGGTGACCACCTTTTCTAGGGAAAGTGCTCCATTGGTTTTTGAGAATCCAATTAAAAAACAGGTATACCATGTGCTATGTACTCATCATTACTATGACCCATAGAAGAGAATATTTTTGTGAATTAGAATCTTATTTACTTCATGGTTTTCATGTCTAATGTTTTCTTTTCAGCTGTTGCTTTTTGCAACAAAAAATGCTTCTGAGAAGGTTATTCCAATATTTCAAGAGGCAGCTAAACATTTCAAGGGAAAGGTAACATAAATTTACTTCTTAGAGGATCTCTTTAACCAATTCCTGGTTTGCTTCATTCTGCAAGTTCTTCAGTTGGGTCATCTTACATCAGTTTGAAAACACAAAATCGCTTGAAACTGTTATATTAATTGCCTAGTTCCACTTGTTCTGAGTATTGAAGTTCAGCGTCTTTGATGAAGCCAATGTAGTTGGGATCAAGTTGATCGGAGAACTTTATAAGTTTGTTTTAATATGTGCTCAATAACATGAACTTGGTTCATATTTTTCATGCCCTACTCCTCGAGGCCCAAAACCACTATTAGGGAACAATATGGTGTTCATTTTTTTCCTGGACTTTTTGCAGCTCATTTTCGTCTATATTGAAATGGACAATGAAGATGTTGGAAGACCAGTTTCAGATTACTTTGGGGTTACTGGAGATGGTCCTCAAGTAATTTCTTTGAATTCATTCTAGTTTTCCCTTTTTTCATGTATTTCATTATTAAAGGGGTCCTCAAGTAATGATGTCCATTTGTGTTCAGATTCTTGCATACACAGGAAACGATGATGCCAAAAAGTACATACTTGATGGTGATGTGACCATAGACCGTATCAAGGTTAGAATTATCACAATTTCATTTTTTTATTATTTTTCTCTCTTTCTTGTTGTAGGAAATGGTGCACATGGAATAACACAAGCCGCTTTATTAAGTTTTGTGCCAAAAAATGTCGCTTTATTAAGTTATGAAAAAAATTAGTAAATAATTGCACATTTAAGTAACTCTTATCTTATCTGTTGTGTCTTAGATATTTGGGGAGGATTTCCTTGAAGACAAGCTTAAGCCTTTCTATAAGTCTGATCCCATCCCAGAGACTGTACGTTCTCAGGTGTCTTTTTTCTGATGATGATTTGCCATCTAGTCTTATGATCTAAATTTCCTTTTGTAAATTGTTCTCCACAGAATGTTGGGGATGTGAAAATAGTGGTTGGGAATAACTTTGATGAGATCGTGTTGGATGAATCAAAAGATGTTCTTCTCGAGGTATTACTTTGCTTTATGAAATTAATCTAAAACCCATGGGCCATTTATTGTTTATTCTGGATTTTTCTCTTTTATTAGTATTGGCATGATTCTAATGTTATGAACTAGATCTATGCACCATGGTGTGGGCACTGCCAAGCACTGGAACCTATTTACAACAAGCTTGCCAAGCATCTGCGTGGCATTGATTCTCTTGTCATAGCCAAGATGGATGGAACAACCAATGAGCACCCCCGGGCTAAGGTATCATTCATTCTTCACTTACTATTAGTAATATGTTATGCTAAACAACTTGTTGATGGCCGTAAGTTTACGAGTGTTAAGTTCTCAAATTTGACTCAGAAGTTGGGCTGTTGGCTAACTTGGCTTCTGGATTTAACTAGAGTGCATAAATTAGTATGGACACTTGAAACCTGATTGCTTTGATGATGTGAGAACAAGCCTTTTTTTTCTTTGTTTTTTAAGATTGCTAATTGATAACCTTGGGTTTTGACCACTGCAATGTTGTGTATAACATGTACAACTCTTTCTTAACCAGAAATTTTCAATTAACATAAAAAAGCTGTAGTGAAGATTTCTGCTTGGTTCACAAATGAAACCTTATCTATGTCTTTTCTGCTAACCAAAGTTGGGCAAAATTTGGTGGGTCGTGAAAATTATACTTTAATTCTTTTTCTAGTAAATTTTCTATTTATCATGCATTATTAGATTTAATGTTTGACTATTTGTTCTATTTTTTTTCCCATGTTCATTTATATTTGGTTGACATTTTTTATCATTTTTTTATGGTATTTGGTGATACGCCTGAATCCCCCATAGGGGGCCGTTTGAGTAGTTCAGCACCACAAATAACCCCCCTCCCCAAATTTTGGTGGTAGCGGGATTCAAATCCCAGTCTCTGCTGGAACAAACCAGCTAACATACCAACTGAGCCACCCCTCAGTTGGTGACATTTTTAGCGTTTGAACCATAATTGAACATGATGGTTGAAAGAACATTTGTAACACCACTTGTCCATGACTCTGCTGCTTTGATGAAAGAAAGTGAATAAAATCTGCCTGTTTTGCTATTGCAGTCTGATGGCTTCCCCACACTTCTCTTTTTCCCAGCTGGAAATAAGAGCTTTGATCCTGTAAGTGGTGTTTAATACTATTATTTCTTTTGAAGCCTTTCTTCTTGCAGTTATTATTATTTTTGAAATTGGTATTACCATCAAGCATTTAGAAGTAGTGGACACAACATACAAGATATGGAAGTAAGTTTTAAACAACATTTGGTTTCTTGACCAAGCAGATTACTGTTGACACTGATCGAACAGTGGTTGCATTTTATAAATTCCTCAAGAAACATGCATCGATTCCTTTCAAGCTCCAGAAACCCGATGCAACTCCAAAATCAGAGGGTGCTGATGCCATTAAGGTTGATAAGAGTAGCAGTTCTGAGACCGAGGCTAGCAGCAGTTCTAAAGACGTGAAAGACGAATTGTGAGGTCTTAATTCATAAGATGTATGCGCGCTTTGTATCATCAGATCAGATAGGAAGGGCAAAACTTGTCACGTACATAGATGAAAATTAAATAGAGTAAAATGGGGGGTGGAGGGGATTTGATGATCTTCTCAGATGTTCTTGTCTGAAATTTTGATTTCTTCGAGGCCTCGGACAAATTTTCCGAAAGAATACAATAAAGTTCATTTTCTTTCTTATATAGGACTGCTAATAGTATCTGTTTGTCTTGAATTCGAATTCGATCTATTTATAATTTGATCGAACATAGATCCATCCCTACCCCATCTGATCCTACATATAACTGTGATTTAGCTGTTTTATGGTCTGCACAGAAATCAAGGGAAGTTTGGGTTTTAAATAGCATAGATACATATAGTTTGATTTATTAGTAAAATTAGTTTGACTATTTTTTGTCTTTAAATAAGAAAAATGCTATTTTGGATTCATTTTATTCCTCATATAGAATATAGAAGTTATTTTTATTTCATTTTATTTATAGTATATGGTGTTTTGAGTTTAATTTATTAATGTTATTAACAATCCTAAATAAATCCAATAAGATTCCATTAGAAATCAAATTTGGATTTAGATATTCTATTATGTCTAACGAATCTGTTTGCAGCTCTATTATCATCTAGGGGGTGTATGGTAGTATGGTCTTCATAAGGCAGCATACTGTGTTTGAATTTATTGGCTCCATTGTGGTTTTTTTTTTTCATTGTGGTGTGGTTGAAATCAGATGATTTGAATTACCGCACTCATAATCATAGGGTGCCAATGGGGCAGTTTCTTCATTTAACGGGTTTCGGATTGAGTTTGGATGTTGTATATTATTAATAAATTTAACCAAATAAGACATTTTATTTTAATAATGAAACGAATTAGAGTGGACGTAGATATTGTACATTAATAATAAATAATTAAATAAATTTCATGAGACTTGAAACTTGATATTTAAACGATGAAAATATGTAAATTTTACATAAGAATGTGCCTATAAGGCTATAAACTTGTATTAGTAAAATGGAAAGCATTTGACAGCCTTAATTAGATGTCTAAGGTGGTTTCTTTGGTATGGCTGACCATGGAGGAGGCATCTTATTCCTGCAAGTTAATAACCCACCACCCACCAAAACTTGGCGACACTTTGGGAATATGAAAACCCAATTCAGTTGGAGCAGATTTTAAGAACTTTCTCAACTCCACCTCAGTGTTTGTGTTTGTGTGCCTATAATTACAACTTGTCTCTGTGTAGTGTGTACCCCTGGACCTATCCTAGCTCAAGTGTCCAAAATCCAAACAGCTGGGTTGCCTCCTTTTCATCTATGTTTCTTTCACTGATGTGTAGTGGGAATGCTCCCTGAGATCAGTGGTCTCTTTGGCAGTTCTCACCTTTGCTTTTTGTTTTTTGGTCAAGACCGGTGAAGTCTTTCATCTTGCGTGGATTGCGGAGTTTCACACGACTTTACAACCAGACCCAAAATGTCATCTACAACTCTCTGTAATAAGAATAAGTCGAATTCGAGAAGGCCACATCAACGGCTTCAGTCATGTTTTGTTCATTTTTTTTTTTGATACATTTCATGGGCTTTGATGGGGGAGGGGCTCTTTTTCGCTACTGAGACTCTGAGAGGTCGATCCTAATGAGGTCGGTCTCGATTACTTTATTTTTATTTTACACCATACTAGTAATTTATTTCTTTAGTTCAAATCCAGAATTTCCTCTTATTTGTGTGTACGTGGTATTGTGGTGTCTATTGAAACTTTAGAAATTAGGAGTATTTGGCTTTACTCCAAGTCTATAAATTTGGTTATTCCTTCTCAGATTCCGTAGGAGAGGGCGGATATTTTTCTTAAGTTTTAATAAAATAATGAATTTGCATATGTCAAGGCCCAAGGAATGACCAAACTTTTTGTTTAACGCCTTGCAATACCTCATCCATGTTCTAAAACAGTTATTTTATAAAAGAAATTTTGTCCTTTTACTATTTCATTGATAATTAAATAATAAAAAATAAAATATTATTAAATTCGATGAAAATGCACAAAAAAAAAAAGACTTGTCTCCTTCTTATAGGATAAAAGCTTTGGCTATTGGGAGCCAACAGCTTATTAGGCTGTTGAGGAGCTCTTGAAAACTATTGAATGTATGCTTTATTTATTTATAAGTTTTACTGTTCCCTATATTTCAACTCCATTTGCATGTATGGAGGGATTACAAAGTACAACGGTTGGAAGATTTTCTAGTTACAAAGCTCAGTGACCTGCGACGTTTTGTCATTTATTTTAAAAAGAGTACCTTTTTTTTTTTCTGACCGGGCAAAGGCAAACTTCATGGTTTGTTGAGTTTTGATTGCCGTGGGATGGGGTTTGAGCAATTTGTTTGTTCTATAACCCCAAGTTGTTTCAGATTAATTTAGAGGTCACGATTCTTTGCTATGGGACACCTTCTATAGTTTCATAAATTTATTAAAGCTTGCATATCAAAACAGAAAAAAAAAATGCTAAAGCTTAATTACCATATTGTCTGCATTTTATAATTTGCAATGGAGTTACTAAATTAATATTCTGTTAAGAATAGTTTGTATTATTATTTAGAAATGGTTGAAAAATATTCAAAGTATGAGACTCATGATTGTCTATTTCAAAGAGACCCTTAACACTTGATTTCAAACTTTTAGAAAGATAGAATTTTAAATTTCAAAATTTCAATTGAATGAAAAAGGAGAAAATACCATGGTGTTCAGGTTCTTCATTAGCAAATAAATAGAGTGATTGCCCGTGCTTAGGGGTGGCAATTTTCAATCCAACTTGTTGAACCCGCCCAACCAACCTATTTATTAACGGGTTCAGACCTATTTATTTAATCCTGGGTTTTGTGGGTAAGTTAATCCAATAAGCAGTCGTTTAACGGATTGGACAGGTAAGGTCATGATTAACCATGTGAATAACCATTAACAAATTGGAATGATTCTGAATTGGTTCGTAGTAAGAATTAGAATCAGAATTGGAATGATTCATTCCCATAGTCTGTTTGGTTTAAATAGGAATGGGAATGAGAATTAAAATCAGCAGGAATGGGATTTCATTCCCAAGGGAGGGGCAGTGAATAGCCATTCCCTCAAATGGGAGAATGCCATTCCAGTAGGAATGGGAATGGGATTCCAATTCCGTCCAACCAAACAGTTGGAATCGAACTAACCCATTCCGATTCCGATTCCAAACCCCTATTCCCGCAAACCAAACGGGGCCTTAGTTGGTAAATTACTTATTACATTCTCTTTTTTCTTTACAAGAAGAAGCAGGGGATTTTGCTGAAGAACAAAATGGAGAAATTTCTGTTGATATTTTTCTGCAATCTCCATATTAACTTTTATGTTCTGTATATTTTTTTATTCTGTTCTGCATTTTTTTCTTCTTCTATCATTTATGTATATTGGTTGGTTTCATTGTTTCTTGTGTTTTGCAATTTATTTATTTTTTCTGTTTTTTCTTGTTCCTAGAGGAGAAATTTGGTTCCCCTTCTCTCATTTATATATTTTTTTTGTATTTTCTCTGTAATTTATATTAATATTTTCTGCAATTTTACTGTATTTTTTCTGTTCTTCATTTTTTATTTTTAGTTTTTTGCAATTTATATATCTGATTTGATGAATTAAAAATTAATGGTTTGGATAGATTGAATTGAATGAAGATGGGTCTGAATTGAACCGATTCATTTGAGTTTTTCTAAATAAGTCATTAACGGGTTGACGCGTCTAATGGATTGGGTTGAAGTTCACCCTAAACCCAATCCACCCAATCGCCATCCTTACCCGTACCTGGGTTGGGCTTTTACCAAAATTTGAGTGGGCTCACCCCAAGGCCCGAGCCTCAAGTAGTATAAATTATTAAATTGGGTCAACCCCAATTGCACCTTTAGGTAAGATTTAAGAATGACATTTTCATTTTTACAATTTTATTTTTTTTTATTAAATTTATTTGAAGATGGCCTTAAAAAAATGTTCGAAGAGGGTTAAAATCGACATATCATACTTCTATCCAAGCATATGAGGTTCCTTTAGCAAAATACAAATTATAGAAGATAGGTTTTAGTAAATCCATATTAAAACTATAGGGTTGTTTTAATAATTGACCAGTCACCGTGGTCTGTGGACTCGTTTTCCACTTTTTCCTTGTTTCCCTGTTTTCCACACTACATACACAGACACTAACACTCTTAAATCCTGTTTTCCTCATTTAACTCCGCGTTCTCCGATTCAATTCTCTCTCTCTCTCTCTTTTTTTTAATCTTTACTTTTAACTGAACAACTTATTTTCTTGCTTGCATTTGCAGTTGCAGGCAGAAGCTCCTCTGTTTCTTCCTCCTCCTTCACGCCATTGCTTCGATCTAGGGTTTTACATCCACACTGTTGATACGTGTCCAACTGTCCATTCCAGCTGCAGTAGCGATTGCGGTTTCATTAATTTTGGATTCCACATCCACGTTTCTTCTCGTCCTCCGAGGTCGTCTTTTTTTTTCTTCAACCGTTTTTCTTTTGTTTTAAATCCCATTGGTATATAGATCTGCGCCTCCTCCCTCTCCTTTCGCCTCTCACATTCTCCGTCCGTCTTGTTATTATCTAGGTTTCCTCTTTCAGTTCTAGTCTGCCGTGGACTTCAATCAGCATTGCTAGTTTATAGTTTATCGAGCAGGCAGATCTTCCATCCATTTTCTTTTGAGGGCAATGGCCAAACTGGTTACGCTTTCTTTCTCTATGCTTCTACTGCTGCTATTCGCAGATTTCACCGTCTCTCAAGATCCTCCTCAGTTCTCACCGGTTCCTGCGCCTCAAAGTGGAGACGTGGTTCCCTCCCCTATACCTCTTTCTCCCCACAGCGGTGCTCCCTCGCCTGCACCCTCGGTCCTGCTCCTCCCTCCTCCACCCGACGTTAGTTCTCCTCCAGCGCCTCCACCATCGGATCAGGCATCTGACTCTTCGCCAACATTGTCTCCTGCATCATCACCGGTCGACGCCAGTGACATTAATCACAAAATTGAAGATATGGCTGCGACTTCTGAAGAGTCTACAGGCTCCTCTGGCGGATTGAAAGGGGGACAGAAGGCTGGAATCGCGATCGGGGTCATCCTCGGCGCTTGTGCAGTCGGTTTCGTGGGCTTCGTTTATAAGAAACGCAGAGATAACATCCGGAGATCCCAATATGGGTACGCCGCGAGAACAGAACTTCTCTGAGATTGGTTACAAGGTTACACCCTGATCTTAGGTTTCTCTTCTTCGATATCGATACATCATACATGTAAATCTCTATGGGGAAAGATTTACAGGCATTCTTCGATTTCTTGTGATTTCTTTAATCTTACATCCCGAGAGTGTCGAATTCTTGCTCTTGTTCTTTTAATGCTTCTGTGTTCTTTGCATAATTTCATGTACTATCATGATTTACAGACCAGAGCACCATCTCTATCCTGCTCTGTCTACTTCCCAGTGATACTAATACACAGGACTGAACTATTCTGTGGAATTTTACATGTCATGCGTAAGCAAATTTGCAAAGCATAAGATAGTTAGAAAATTTGAGATACCAGTAATCAGTAACTCAACTTATTCAATATTTTAACTCTAACATACATTGTAACATTGACGATCTTTTACCCCAGAACTCCAGAAGTCAATCAATACAATCGGATGGTTTGTGCACAACAGACCACAAGATTGGATCAGTTTTTAAGGTCAAGAAAAAGATTGTATTTTCAGAGAAAGTGTACTTTAATTCGATGGTTCGTGGCATTTAATAAAAAAATTTCTTGGGGTCGAGTACATGAAGTCTACATTATATATATTTCAATTTCAAAAGATGTTCAATTAGCTGGATCAAATAAATTAGATGCATAAAATTGTTTTTCTCTTGGGATCTTCTGAGTTTGACCACCAAAAACGACCATTGAGCGGTGAGAGCAGAACCAGTGGACTGTAGGGATTGCCGCGACCACGGTTCGGAGTTGCAGTAGAGGCGAACTCAATCAAATGCCCCTAGATAATCTTTTAACCAATCACGGTGCTTCTGCTTCAACAGAAAATCTGGGTTCAGGCAGATCATCCGCACTATCTAAAAGGCAAACAAGAATCACCTTAATGGGAGAAAGGATACAAAAAAAATGAAAGTTAGACCCTTGGACCTGTTTGAAGTTAGGGACGGACCTTACTTAAAAATAGTTACACAATGATGTCTTGTGAGCGACCTGAACCCCACTGGTCACCTTACATCCGATAAGGTTGCTTTGTCCCTGATGCTGAGTATCAAATGGCTCAAATCTGATCAAGGTGGATTTATCATGTAACTTTAACCCAATCCATAGACTGACTATTCCTAGCTGTACCCGGCTATCATTTCCCACCACCACAATCAAAATTCAAAAGGGTACAACTTTGAATATTAGCTGGGCCAAAAATCATAACCCACCGAACCTTTTCCTTTAAAGAGCATCATAACCCACCACCATCAAAAATCAGGTCACAAAGAGACATCAATTGATACTCAAGGGACAAGGCAGCCTTATAGGATGTCAAGGGTTGGGTCAGAATTTGTTAGAACCAACCTCTCAATCAAGTCATTGTGGCATCCTTTCGTCAATTTATAAAAGTTACAACGAAATATTCGTGAAGTTTCTGTAAAGGGTCTCTCTGCATTGAGAACAGCATAAGGGACAGGGCTGACCAATATACCGGGAACCCACCAACTGACATCCTTAATGGAAGCCAATCTTCCTGGACCCTGGGCCAAGCACAGACCTAAAAACTAGATTTATTGAAAAATCGGGAGAGCTAAAGTCAATTATTTTACAATCACTTACGTGGTTTTTTTAATGAAATTTATTTTAGGCCCCGTTTACTTTTTGGTAAGTTATTTATTAGGAGTGAATTTATCCATGTTCTTTTATTTTTCATGTAAATAAGGCAATGACCATTTTATTTATAAAAATCTATTATTAAAAAGGACGTTTTTGTTTCATTCAGGTGTTGACAATTTTCCCTCTTGGTGGGAAAATTATTTACCCACCTAGGAACAGAAAAATAAACTTTCACTGGTCTCTACATAAATATGAATAAAAAACACGTGATTCTTGGTCAATGGGAACCAAAATCCCATTGACCAACTTTCCCCCCTCTCAAAATTCGAAAAAAGAACACCCCCTTAGTGGCTTTCCTCAACTTGCTCCGCTAAAACAACTCATGTCTCATGGGTTAGAAACTTAGAATTGGTAGTCCGACAGATATAGGGCCGGTATCGGATTCCTAGGTGCTAGTGTCTCATTGGTCTGCAATAACTAAAACTGCACCACAACGTGCAGGTATAGACGTATCGTTAGTTCCCTAGAATTGAATCCAAGGATGTTGGATTGAGTAGCCTATGGCCCTCGTTGATCTAACCTTGGTGTGTTGGAGAAATCGTGGCCACTGGATATAGCTACACCCCAATGGACTAATTGATTACACTTTGTGTACAATGTGACACACAATATCACTTCTTTTTATTATATTGTATTTTATTTTCATACAAATAAAATGTTTTTACAATAAGTCTTTTACACTATTTTTCACATATACACATTTGTTGGATCAAATCAATCCAATGTTTATGAATCTTAGGAGTAGAAGACTTTGTAAGAGTGGTTGAGAAAAATAAGGTTTCAAGTCCCACTCTATGAGACACCAGTCTCGTTTTAATTGGAGCCCAACTAAAAGTGAGGACGAGTGTTAGGTTTTAAAGTCAAGGTGGTTAGCTACTTTCTAGGAAGTTCCCAACTTACAAATTCCTCCTATAGCTATAAACAAAAAGAAAGAATTGGGGAATTTTGTACAAGTGAAATATATCGTTCATCTCCTGCAAGCCCACTATATTGGTACAGCGCTTTGTCTCCTAAACTGACGAATGTCGCGATCCTAACATTCCATCCATATTCAACTCCATCTTGCCAGATTTTTAAAAGGATATATTAACTTTGGTGGTTTTAGCAAGTACCCATGCTTAATTATTAACGTTGCCAAACACCCAACACCTCTCTCCGTCTTCCTCTTCTTCCATTTAATCACCGTCGACGCCTCTTCCAAAGGTATGATTTTTACTCAACTTCTCTCTCTCTCTCGGTCTGTTGACAATTCTACTTTCTTTCTCGTTGATCAGTATCTGGTACTGATTTGATGGTAGCTTACTTTTCAATTATGCTTCTCGTGTAAGTTGAATGGGGCTGCAAGGCTTTAATCATGTCGTCTTTCCCTTTCAAATATGAATTATTAGCCAGCTGTTTGTGCCGAGTGTTTCACTTAAATTTTCTAGATTTGTTTTGACTGCAAACTGGAAACAGAGTTTCTTCTGTCCCGGTGATTGAGAACAATGATCTAGATCTTTGAACTCCAAATTCACTTGCGTAAAGTCGTTATCTGGTTTCATTACTGGAATGTCGACCAAAGGTTTATGTTTTATAATCATTTCGGTGATAAAGTAAACATAGACTTGTTATGTATAGTAGTTGATGAATTTATGCCTTAAAAATGTTGTGACCAAAATGAATTTGATTTCACTCCATGTGGCTTCCAAAGCGACTCTCAAAGATAATGTAGAATTGAACTTGATATGATATGAAGGAAATGAGTCTTTGGGTCTTAACTCTTAATTTTGATGAAATTACTGATCAATTGGAGGCGTCCTGTTTGGACCTCCAACGCCGGTTTCTAGATTAAAATAATTGCCTAAAGAATGAATGATCCCTGAAATGCTAGAGGATTTGTCAATTCTTGTTTTGCCCCTCATTATCTTTTTGGGATGTGGATTGTGGATCTCCAATCAAAATTGTTAATTCTAATCAATGTTTTAAAACGTGGAGGCATGACGTGAGGCGTTCCACTACCTAGAGGTATAAGGCATAGCTCAAAACGCAAGAGACGTAAGTTTCCTTAAGAGAAAGGGGATTAGGAGGAAAGAGGAAGGGGGGATCTCATTTTTTCTTTATTTTTAATAAAAATATTTTATATTAAGAAGAATATAAAAGATTTATATTCTTTTACAATCACTTATGTGGTTTTTTGAATGAAATTTATTTTAGGCGTCCCACTACCTAGAGGCCCCGTGGTTTTTTGAATGAAATTTCTTTATTGTAAAAGATTTATATTCTTTTACAATCACTTACGTGGTTCAGATGGTTCATATTAGGAAAGGCCAAATAGTATACGAGTCATGAGAAACAGAGAAAGGAGGACTGGAGGAGTGGAGAAGAATATTTTGTCGGTTGAGAAAGAAGAGAATAAGGAAAGAAATAAAGAAGAAAGGAAAAATAAAAAAGAAAAGAAGAGAAAGAAAAGGAAGGAAAGAAAGAGGGAAGGAGAGAAGAAGGAAGAGGAGGAGAATGATTCGATGCTCACCGGTGACGGCGATAGCAACGATGATGACAGATCTCATACGAGTTCTCAAATCTCAGATCTGAAATTGATTTTTCATTTTTTTCTCAGATCTAGATATGAGATCTTCTTCTTCTGAGATCTGCAACTTTTTCTTCTTCTTCTTCTTCTTCCTAAATATCATATTTGAGTTCGTGTCTTAGATCTGCAATTTCTCAAACCGCAAACCACTGTCCGAGTCAAACGAATCGACGGTTCGACCGCCCGGGTTAGCAATTTTCTGACAAAGTCAACGGTTTTTTATCCAAGAGCGGGTCAAGGGTGAAACGAAACCGGTTGCTTGAATGGTCCGCCGGTGACGGCGATAGCAACGACGATGACAGATCTCATACGAGTTCTCAGATCTCAGATATGAGATTGATTTTTCATTTTTTTTCAGATCTAGATATGAGATCTTCTTCTTCTGAGATCTGCAACTTTTTCTTCTTCTTCTTCCTAAATATCATATCTGAGTTCGTGTCTTAGATCTGCAATTTCTCAAACTGCAAACCGTTGTTCGAGTCAAACGAATCGACGGTTCGACCACCCGGGTTAGCAGTTTTCTGACCAAGTCAACAGTTTTTTATTCAAGAGCGGTCAGGGGTGAAACGAAACCGGTTGCTTGAATGGTCTGACCGTCTGGGTCAACGATGGTTCAAAAACATTGCTGAGAAGTGTAAGAACATGGGTTTGAGACTTAGAACAGTTATTTTGTGCAAGAACAATGTCGTAGATTAGATAAATCCAATGGTGGGCTTTGGTGCAACAGTTGGGCTGCTCCATTATGACCTGGGTGATCAGGGTAAAACAACCTTTCTGTGTATTTGTAGGGATAAGCAGGGGGCAGAGCCGGAGGGACCTAGGGGAGCCATGGCTCTCCCTATGGTCTAGAAATCCCCCACTAGTAATATAGTTTCCCATGTAAATTTCTCCACTCACCCACTCCCTAACACAATGGTTTTCCCCTATGGGCCCATTTATATTTATTCCACCCTTCCCTAATCCACTTTAGGCTTTGGTCCCCTCATGAAAATTTCCTAGTTCCGCCCTTGGGGAGACTGCCTACATCTATCCCTCCCCAAACCCAAACCCACATTGGCAGGAGCCTTATGCATTGGGCTGCCCTTTTTATGAAGGTTGCAGATAAGTGAAACAGCAAAATAATTGTATGAGGGTTTGTTCTAAATGTTGTGTTTCTTTGGTTCTTACAAGTCTTTTGACCATGTTATCGTTAATCTTACTATTAGAATTAAGTGCAGTGTTTGTGGGAAGGATGAATCCCAACAGGAGTCATGGTGGCATTCAGCTCTTGCTAGCTGCAGAACAAGAAGCCCAAAATATTGTAAATGATGCCAAAAATGGTAACGACTTACTCTCATATCTTTCATTTTTTATAAGCTTATGTGGATATCAATTGACTTCCATCTGTATCTTTTGATCATTGAATCATTTAGATATATGTTTAATGGACATCCTTCATCTCGAAAGGTTTTTGTGTTGTGTCCATCTCTTAAACATATTGAGACATGGTTGCCATTAGGTTACAAATTTGAGATGGTTATGTTGATCTATTCAACTTCAACTTTTACCTTGGAAATATGCTAAGAAAACCATTGGCCGTAAATCTTTGTTCTTAGAAAACCATTGGTCGTAAATCCTTGTTCTTCTCGATATTGCAATATATATTTCATATAGTAAGTGTTTTGCATTGGTGCTGCAAGAACATCGCACCGTTTTTATAAGAAAAGAGTGTTTTTTTTTTGTTTGGAACCAGTGCTGTCACATAGGTGTTTTTTGAGAAAACGACACTAGTTTTGTTTGGTGTCAGTGCTGGTAGCAACGTTTTCAATATTGATCTATATTATCCAATATCTAAGATGATGTCACATTGATGCCACATCATTGCACGGCTGGCAGCAATGCATCGTTTTTCAGAAAACATCGAATTTGGCGTTGCTCTAAACTACACTGTCCCGATTTTCAAGACATGATCTAGAGCAACGCTTTTTTTTTTTGGAAAAATGGTATCAAACAAGATAGCATTGTTTGAAGCACCACTTTCTCTGATGTAGCACCCACATGATGCCGTTTTCCCATAAAACAGCACTGATGCCAAACACCCACATAGATTTTTGTTTTGCATCGCAGCTCAATTGTGAAAACTCAAGTTAAATGATGAGAGGTGTAATAAATTAATGCTATCTGCTACTAACTTTGCCTTTTTGCTAACAGCAAAAACGTCTAGGCTTAAACAAGCAAAAGAAGAGGCCAATAGGGAGATTGCTGCATACCGTTCCGAAATGGAGGCTGAATTTCAGAAAAAAGTTGCAGAGGTAAATATAAAATGTAAATCAAGATCCATTTTTCAGGATTCTTTGTCAGATGCGGATGGATACTAGTATAATTATAGCTCATCTCCATCTGACTTTTGTTCATCAAAGTTCTTGTATGGTGTGTGACTAGCAAGCTCAGGCATATCAATTCATAATTCCTCCTTTATACAGGCATTAGCGATCTTATGCTTGTTGGAATTCACCATGTCTACTCGATTCCAATTTCCATAACTCTTTGTAGTTGCCTTTTTCTAACTTGAGCCATATCGTTTTTTTGTTTTCTTTTTACTGTGATGTATAAACAGTCCAGTGGAGATTCTGGTGCTAACGTTAAACGCTTGCAACAAGAGACTGACGATAAGATTCAGTACTTGAAATCAGAGGCTGGAAGGGTATCCAATGATGTTACGGACATGCTTCTGAAACATGTGACAACTGTTAAGAAATAAGTTTTCTATGTTGAGTGAAGACAACATTATGGCATTACGGAGGTAGGCTGGATGATATTTTCAGTTCTCTACCCATAGCTTATATTTGAACTGGAAGCCCTTGAACTGGTGAGATTAAAGTTGAGTTGAGTCGAGTATTCTCTTAGTTAGTTAATTGGTTCCCATATTTAATCAAATAAATCACAGAGTATGCCCAATAATTGTTCTTTAAGTTGCATTTGTTTGAATATAGTGCTTTGCCTTCTGTTTGATAGAATGAACTAAGAGAATGAGTACTACTGCTAGATTAGGAGCATCTAGTTTTACCTTTTTTCCTATTGCAATTCAGTTTACTGGGCAACTTCAATAGGGTTGGCAACAGTTGATTCCATCATTTCTGCAAGTTCTTTCCACCGTCCAAAAGAACATGGACATGCCAGAGGAATAGCCAAAAAGTAGATCACTCGGTGTTCTGAAGTTGGTCTCTCCTTTACAGTTGCTTTAACAATATTCAGAATTAATAAAAGAACAGTTAAGCTAGCTCCATCCCTCACCAGGGAAAACAACCTGATAATTGCTTTTAGGGCTGATCAGTACCTTGAACTTTAGGAGTTGTCTCAAGTTAGTTACTGAACTTCAAAACCTGTTTCTACAGTACTCCAACTATCAAAATTTGTCTAATAGGTCCTTTCCATTAATAGTCCATTAGTTATCTGATCGCATGATGACATGTGCCACTTAAAACTCTTGAAAATGTTAAAACTACCCTCAGAAAGAAGACACTATTCATTGTCTTCTATCTATTGTTTTCATGCCATGAAAACTCAGTAAGATTTGCACTCAATTCATTTTCACCAAGAAGCATAGCTGCCACTCAGTAATGGCACAATGCAGCAGCATCCGAGAGTGGGGCATTGCTTACATAAATGGACTGAATGGTGAATGGACCTCAATCCTTACCCACACCATCGAGGCATCGACCCATCCTGTCCTCCATCGGAATTGAACTCAATGAAACCTCCGGAAAAGTCATTGATGCTTCTCAATACTTTGCTCCAACAATTCAAAGGCGTGCTGAAAACTCTTATCGGCATTAATTCTGGAGTGCTGTCGTGGATAACTAGTTCCTCCCTTGAGCAATTTCAGTTACCACTTACCACTTACCAGCTATTCATAAAAAAAAGTCACCGATTACCAGTAAACTATCAAAAGATGGAGAGCAATTTCAGAATTTTTTTAAAAGTTCAACAAAGACAGGAACATGAAATTCTTAGAAATTTGGCATCTTTGGTGTTTTCTTGGTTATCAGCAGAAGAGACATTCAGAAATGTTCATTTTTGTGGCTGAAGACTGAACTTTGTGGGTGAGCAATCTCTTTAATGACAAACTTTTCTCAAAAACAAAAAGAAAAAGGTTCCACATAATGGAAACAAAATTGAAAATAAATATGTAAATAAATCTCTTAAATACTTGTTGTTGCCAAGGATGGGTCGAGGGCAACAAGGTAAATTCGCTTTCTTAGCCAAGGGCTGACGTGTCCAAGGGTGGATGGGTCTGACCTGAGGATAAGAGAGCAAGTCAGAGGCCCCGGGTGTTATCCCAAGGGCAGAGACTCCAACGGTCAAGTTAGTCAAGTACGTATGAGGTCTCGGATGAGGTCCAAGGTGAGAGCTCAAACAAAGTCACTTGAGAGCAAGAGAGCTAAAGAGTAGGAGTGAGCAAGATGGTTTACCTTGAGAGGGGCACCTCTATTTATACTTGGCTTTGCCCTGGGAGTGGTTGGAGGTGGTTGATAGTGGACAACCAGAATTACATCCGACCGATGCCACGTGGCACCATCCTAGAGGACCGCTCTTGGAGGCGCCAAGTGTGACTAGGGGGGCAATGAATCTCCCAGTGAAAGTATTGGTTCTACGAGACCGAGGGGCAGTGTAGCTACCATTGCCTTGGCGCCACTTGAGGTGGTGGAGGGCAATGAAGTCGAAGACCTGAGCCTTGACAATATTGTCGAGGCTGAGGCCTAAGGCATCACACTAACACGTTGTCTGCATTCCGATTTGGACAGTGAGCTTAGCATAGAGCAAGTGAGGTCTCTTGCTAAGTTGTACCATATTCTTGGGGAATATAGGCTTAGAGTCCCCGATGTAGGTGATAGGCCCTAGCTACCGGCCGACGGGGTGGTGTGCGCACACGAACATTACCTCCACTTTGGCCATGGATTCCCCATACCTCCTCTCGTCTCCAAGTTGTTGAACTGATACGAAATCTCCCTCAGTCAGCTTGCCCCCAATGCCGTTAGAACTATCACTGTCATGATGGTGATGGCTCGACTCTGAGGTGTCAACGTGACCATGAACATATTCCGGTGCATGTTCATCCTGAGGAAGCACCCTGCTGGGGAAGGCATTTTCTACTTTTAGGGCCGACGTGGTAGAGTGGTGGATAACCTGTCGTCTGTCCACAACTAGAAGAAGTACTTCTTTGCATCTTGTCCAGAGGGTTGACCATTCAGGTATGGATGGGGGAAACTAGACCTCGTGGCTGAGAGGATAACACCCAATCATACGAACGAGGAGGCTGATGTGATAACCCGTATTAGGGTGTTGGGAATGAGCCGATTCGAGCCCTTGGTGTCGAAGGAAGCCTTGGTGTGGGATGGTCTCAGCCCCGCCCACCTCGGTAGGGGAACTCCTATTGTCGGCTTTACACGTCGTCTTATTTTCTTCCTCCGCACAGTGTATTGACACGCTTACAGTGTTTTGCATAGATGAAAGAGAACGTCAAGGAAATGCTGATGGAGATGGCAAAGTCCCGGAAGAGGACTTTTGGCAAGGTGCCACCAAGGAGGCCGACGCTGAGGGAAGTTGCTACCGAGAGGGAACCTCAGCCGAGGGCTCCTACTAGGCCAAGAAGTGGAAGGGGCCTGCCGAGGCCAAGAGAGGGAAGGAGCCCGCTGAGCCCCTCCAGCCTCCGAGGGGTAGGAGGCTCGAGAAGGAGCGTCTAGCTGAGGGTGTTGATGGGGGCTTTTGTCCGTCAAGGGAGCACCTAGGCGAAGGTGTTGCTAGGGGTTCTTGCTAGTTGAGGCCCCATACTTCTTCAGAGCATCGCGATGAGATGCCTTTGACGATGTGATGGATCTCCTGCCCTCATTGGGGTGTCTGAGAGGGTGACACCTTGAGCACCCTGGGGTTTGGTCGGGCCCTGTTGATTAGGATGATCCCGGCTGGGGATAGGCAATCTTGGACCCAAGTGAGCATGCAGGGTGTCGGGGACACCCTTTTGGATTGATTGGCCAATGTGAGCCTCTTCTTCTCTAACACTTAGATAAATTTCCACTTTTTCTTGTTTCTCTCTAGTTGATGGTTGCTTATCCTTGGCAGGCATCCTCCACTATTGTCAGCCTTTGTGACAAGGTTGAGGTCCTTCTAGAGTAGCTGAGGGCCTTGGAGGAGAAGAAGGAGTAGTTGGAGCTGCGGGTGGCCAAAGCTGTAAGTGGCTGAGAGGTAGTCATTTGTGCAATGCATGAGGAGCACACCTGCCGGAAGGACCTAGAGGTCAAGGTCATGACCGAGAGGGAGCAGCTAAGGGCTGCTCAGACTTCTCTGGGCGAAGCAGAGGAGAAGTAGAAGGAGACCAAGGAGCAACTGAAGGCGGCTGAGGAGAAGCTGTGATCCGTTGAGGAGAGGCTTGAGGCGGCCGAGAAGAGAGCAAAGGAGGCCTCGAGGAGGCCTCGACCCAAGCCGTGGAGGAATGGAAAACCACCCAGGCCTACTAAAAGGAGTTGGCCAGCTTCGGTGTCACTTCTTACTTGTAGGGCATCGAAGACACTAAGGCCCAAGTGTTGGCCCTACTGCCTAACTTCGATGTTAGCCAGTTGGGGATTCAGTCCAATCTAGTGGCCGAGGGGTCCTTGCCAGCCGATTGGGTGCAGACATTTAAGGGCCAGGCCAACGAATAGCAACCTGTGCAGATCGAAGCATCTAAGGAAAATGTAGACATTGAAGTTTGAAGAGTCGCGGGGTCTTCTTTTGTCCATCCCTCCTCACATCTATTTTCTTCTTTTGCTTTGTTATTTTTTGCAAGGGGCTCGGCCTCCCCCATCCTAGGTCATTTTTTGTAAAGCAAAAAAGATACATTTATGAATGATGTGCACTTTTTGCCTAACTTGTGTCCTTGTTCTTCCTTTTTTCTTTATGCTTTCTTTTGATGTGCTAAGAGTCGATGCCCCCCTCAAAGAGTTAGGCCGAAACCAAGCTTCATCGCTGAGGGCTCAGGGCCACTTTCCTTAGCGAGGAGGAAAGGGAAGTCAACGCCTTAGCTCTATAGGCTTGTTCTTCATCCTTGCCAAGATAGTTAGGCCAAGGCCGAGCTTCGTTGTCAAGAACTCGAGGCTTCTCTCCTTAGCGAGAAGGAGAAGAAGGCGAATGCCTTAGCTTGCTTGGCTTAACTTTCTTTAGGGACTTAGAGTGTGAACCTACGTGTAGCCGAGGCCGTGGGGACGTGCCAAGTCGAGGTCACAGGGTGGTTCTTGTCTAAGTGGAGTAGCGTATTGTGTTTGTTCATTAGATAATGGGTCGATGTTGTTGGCCAATACCGTGGTCGAGGCCCCCAAGGTTCTCTGCCTTAGTGAGAAGGCAAGTAGGCGTGTGACTCACTGAGAGTCATGTGCCTTAGTCGTTGTCTAGTCTGAGCATATAACCTTGGTGAAGGTTGTCTGTTGCGGCTAGTTGTACAGCCGAGGGGTCCTGGCAGTTGAGCGTAGTAGGAACGTTTACACTAAAGTTAGAGCCGAGGTGGGAGGAACTTTGCACTTTTCATTGATAAGCTCTTTGCACAAAACATTACACATCATTGGTAATATATCCAGAGGTTCTTTGTGTTCCAAGTATGAGGAACTGGTTTTCTACCCAGGTACTTTAGCTAAAAGGTGTCGGGGCCGACCACCTGTCTAATTCTATATCACCCTTCCTAGTTGGGACCGAGCTTTCCAACACTGGGCTCGGGCACCTTGACCTTCCTGAGGATGAGATCACCTTCTTTGAAGTGTCACTCCTTCACTTGAGAGTTGTAATAACGGGCAACCCTTTGCTGATAAGCCGCAACTCTGAGTTGAGCTTGCTCTTAGACGCCTTCTAACAGGTCTAGATTGTTTCTAAGTTTTTCATCATTATCGGCTTCATTGTACACCTCGGTTTGAAGCGTTGGTTGG